CATACATCTCTCCTTTTATCCTATGATTCAGGTGGACTTCAACCACTGGAAATGATTTTATAACAAAAAACTAAATAAATAAAGCTTCTAAAGCTCTTGTCACATCTCTCCTAGAATGAACCACTCAATTTCTCTCTGATCCCATCTCCCTGTCAAACATTCATTTTTCCTCTTAATTTTCAGTTCAATCCTTTCTATGTTGCTTTTCGTGATCCCCAATAGGTAGGGTTGATGAATTTATCTTTATCTCCTCCTAAATAAGTGCAAATTGTAGTATGAGTAACACCAAACTGAACTTACATAGTGGGTATGAATCTTCTTGTAATGATATGTGCAGGACACATACATATAAATATTTTCTTTAAACCTTGCTATACACTGAATGTTTATGCCCTGTCCCCCTAAATTTACATGTTGAAATCCTTACCACTTTCAAGAATGAATGAAACAACCAGATAGAAGATACATGAAGGAATAGAGAACTTTAACTACACAATAAACTGACTAGACCTAACAGGCATATATATAGAACACGCCACCCAGCAATAGCACAATACACATTATTTCAAGTACACATGGGACATTCTCTAAAATAGACTCTATATTAGGCAATGTAACAGGTCTTACTAGATTTTTAAAAATATAGTAGCTTATAAAAAGTATTTTTTCTACTATCAAAATGATATAGTTAGAAATTAATAAAAAGAAAACTGAAAATTACACACATGTATGGAAATTAAACAACACACTTAAAATTTTTTATTTGTATTTATTTTTCATTTTTTAGAGACAAGGTCTTGCTTTATTGCCCAGCTTGGAGTACTGCAATGCAATCATAGCTTACTGCAGCTCCAAACTCCTGGGCTCAAGCAATCCTCCTGCCTCAACCTTCTGGAGTAGTTAAGACTACAGGTGTGTGCCACTACACCCGATTAATTTTTTAATTTTATGTACATACAGGATATACCTGTATTGTCCAGGCTGGTTGCAAATTCCTAGTCTCAAGCAGTCCTCCCACTTGGCCTCTCAAAGTGCTGGCATTACAGGCATGATCCACTGCACTTAGCCTAAACAACACACTTTTAAACAACTAATAGGTCAGAGGAAAAAAAAGTCATAAGGAAAATTAGAAAATAAATAGAGATGAATGAAAACAAAACCACAATACATCAAAACCTATGGGATACAGCAAAGCAGTGCTGAGACGGAAATTTATAGGAAAAAAAGGAAATTAAGTTCAAAGCTAGTAGGAATAACAAATAGTAAAGATTAGAATGTGAATAAACAAACGAGAGAATTTAAAAAATAGAGTAAAGCAGTGAAACCAAAAGTTGGATGTCTGAAACAAAACTGACAAAACCTTTAGTTGGAACAACAAATCAAAAAGCAAGTATACGCAAATAACTCAATCAGAAGAGAGTTGGGACCTCACTAACTGGCCTTACAGAGATGAAAGGAATTATCAGAGAATACAATAAACAGCTGAAGGCCTAAAAGTTAGACAACCTAGAACGAAGGAACAAATCCTTGAAAACTTCAAATGTTCATTGCAGCATTATCCACAAAAGCTAAGAGCTGGAAACAATCCAAGTGTCCATCCACCGAGGAATGCATAAGCAGACGTGGTATATATTTGCAGTAGAGTAGCATGTATTTGCAATATTCAGTCATACAAAGGAATGAAATTTTTTCCTACAACATGGACCTTGGAAACATAATGTCTGGTGGAATAAACTGGACAAAGAAGATTAAAAATTCCATAATTTCTCTTATTTGAGCTACCTAGAATAGGTAAATTTATAGACACAAAATAAAATAGAGGTTACCAGGGCCTGGGGAGAGGTTGGGAAAGGGAGTTTTGGACCAATGAATACAGAATTCTGTTGGAAATGATTCTAAAAAGTTCTGGATCTAGATAGCGGTCATGGTTGCAAAACATTATGAATGTATTTTATGTCTCTGAATTGAAAATTGATGAGTAGTTAACATAATAAATACTAGGTGTATTTTACCACAACAGAAATAAACAAAGAAACCAAAGGAAAAACTGGGCAAGTACTTGAAAAAAAAATACGAGTAAACTCTGTTAAAACAAAGGGGAAGTTTGTTTTAATGGTAATTTAAAACCTGGACATGGTTATTAAAAAGATTGATAGATTTGACAAGAAAATTTTTTTAAAAACTTAAACTCACAGTAAGCAAGTTCTACATATGATATTGTTTGGCTCTCTGTCCCCACCCAAATCTCATATTGAATTGTAATCCCCACGTGTGGAGAAAGAGACCTGGTAGGAGGTTATTGGATTATGAGTGGTTTCCCTCATACTGTTCTCATGATAATGAGTGAGTTCTCACAAAATCTGATGGTTTTATAAGTGCTTAGGAGTTCTTCCTTCACTCTTGTGCTCTCTCTTGCCTTCCACTATGTAAGGCACACCTTTCTCCCCCTTTGCCTTCCACCACAATTGTAAGTTTCCTGAGGCCTCCTCAGCCATGTGGAACTGTAAGTCAATTAAACCTCTTTCCTTTATAAATTACCCAGCCTCATGTAGTATCTTTACAGCAGTGGGAAAAAATGGACTAATACAACATATAATAATAATTTTAGGTAGTTAGGTAGACATTAGCAGCTAGGAGGGGGTTAAGGAAGAGAACAAAAAGGCTGTCACTAAGACAGCAGCCTATGGTCTACCTAAGTTCAGCCCCAGAACTGCACTAACTCCATTGTAAGAAATCGAGTTGGTGGTAAAGTTTGTGGCCAGCCCATACTGGAAAAAGATAAACAGGGAAGAAGTGGAAATTCCCTAAAGTGGTTCATGCCCAGTAGCCTGGAACTGTGTCCCAAAGTTCACCCCAAGCTCATTAGACCATCATTATAATAATATCTACCTGTGGTTTTCTCCATCCAGTGGGTTTTTCTTGACAAACTATGGATAAGAACATGGGCAGTTTAATTTTAGCTATTTAACTATAGACTGCCAATCAAATGACATCATCCTGTCACTCTGACATAGCCCAAACCTAAACTCCTCCCCACTAAACTCTCATAAAAGCCCCTTGAGTTTTGTAAGGGAAAACTGCAAATTTCACTTTGCAGAAATCGGTCTGCTCTTTCTCTGAGAGTGTATTACTCTGCTTAATAAATTTTGCTTTGAGCTTGCATTGTGATGTTAATTTGCAATTCTTTGCTCACTATCACATGAGCTGAGATTTATGGTCCAGAGCTTCAGGTCTGTTGACTTCCCCAGTTAAAGAGTTCATCCAAATGCAAAATTCCCAGTAAGAAAAAGACAAATGTAAAAACGTTTAAAACATGTGGAACATGTAATACAGAAGAACAGATAGTTTCATAATATATAAATGCTCTGTATATTGAGAATAATACTACCAACAATGCAATCAGAAATCAGTGAAGTTTATGAAAGCACATTCAAAGGCAAGGGAAATACAAATGGTCTTTAAACGTGTTAAAGGAAGTTTAGTATCATGTATAATAACCTCATAATATTCCCGAAAATGCATTTTTTTCCAAATTAATTGTGAAAAATCAAAACATCGACAACTCATTCTAAAGGCAGCATAGTGGGAAAAAACTGCTTTCATGCACTAATACACTAGCACAAAACGGTGAAACCATAGGAAAGACAATTGAAGCACCTAATAATATAACTATATATTCCACCTTGTTCCAAACATCACATTTCTGAGAATTCATTATACAAATCAACATGTCTGAAATTATGTACATATAACTACATTTTTCTTTGTGATATTCTTTTTAATAGAAAAATGTAGTAAGTCTCCCAAGTGCCCACCTATGGATGACTGGTTTAAGAACTACAGCACCTCCACACAATAGGATATTATGCAGATATTCAAACAAAGTGGAAGTTAGGTAGTTATTTAAAATTTTCTTCAGAGTATATAATTAGGTAAAAAACAAAGTGTGGAGAATTATGCATGTAATAGCTTACTTATACAAAAAAAATAAAAAATATATAATTGTATTTTCTTATAAGGAAAAACTAGGAAAATGAGCAATAGATAAATAGCAAGGTCAAATCTCATATAATTAATACAAGTTACATATAGTTGTGGGGGTGCAGGAAAAAAGTGTGAAAAGTAACAAGAATGTGACCATCCCTTTCCATGTTTTCTTTTTTATTTATGTAAATTTGATTCTTGAATGGTATAAATCAGCTAAGTATTGAAAATGAATTTAAAATTAGAAAACAGAGCATCAATATAGATATAAAAGAAAACAACAAAATTATCTATACCAATACAATTATACTAGAATTTTTGTGAAGTAGAGTTGAACCATAGTTTTCAGTTAAAGGATAAAGATGAGAAATTTTGGAAAACTGGAGGTAACAAGCAGCAGGCAGTTTTTAGGACTTATTGGTATCTATATAGAAACAAACGGAGCAACTACATAAATATCAAAACTAAAATGAAATTGATGATGTGTACAACAAAACTGGCTAAGTATCCCTGCAAATCTCAAAATATAAGAAAGGAAACAAATAATATGAATAGGCACAAAACTGGCATGTTATCGGCATATAGGCAGGAGAATGTAGAGGAAAGCAGAGGCCATCTGACAGATCAAATAATAACGGTAGCAAAAATTAGTTAACAGGTAGTCACTGAAAAACACAGGAGGCCAAGTTGAGAATAGTAGGTAAATTGGGAAGGATTTTGTCCATTCAAACAGCGGCTGAGTTCAAGAGGCCCAATCTGAAATAATGGAACAATCTAGCTCCAGTAAAGCCTGGATCTGCCCAGCTCTGTCTTCCATGAAGGATAGAACCCCACAGAGCAGAAATTGATGGGAGTGATATACAAGCTGAGGAGGATGTGGACAACAAAGGGGCCATGAGCAGAGGTCCAGATAAAAGTGGGGGAAGGTTACTCAACTGAAAAACATCTGAAAGCAAGCCACTCTACTTTATTTATTTATTTTTTATTTCTTAATAAAGCATAATAAAACAAAGCATCTAAGACTGCAGCTTCTGAAAGAACCACTTGTTCTTACCTGTCCTGTATCTCTCCTCAAACTTGACCTTGGCCTTTGTGCAAAGGGATGTCCACAGAGTGCCTTGTGGGCATCAGGTGATTGTAGTTTTAAACTTTCCTAAAAGACTTGATCTTTGACCTCTTGGCGATCTTCTTCTTGCCCATGGTAGCTGTCACTTTGTGGGGATAGCAGTCAATTCCAGCCACCAAAGCATGACTGCAGGGGCGATCTGAGGTGCCATCATCAATGTTCTTCACTATGACAGCTTTGCGTCCAGAGTAGCATCCAGCCAGGACAAGCACCACCTTCCTAGGTTCCATGAATTTGCCCATTTCGGCAGCACCCACTCGGGCCTACAGCAAAAAGGAAAAAAATCTCACTCTACTTTTTATATTTTAACACTTTCCAAAACCTGAAGAGGGAACTCTGTGATATCAGAGAAGATATCTAAACTGTTTCCTTCTACAAGTTCAGAACCAAATGAAATCCAAATTCAATAGTATCAAAGTCAAATCTCATACAAAGTAGCTACAAAATAAAACATAGACATAAAAACTAAAATAGAACAAATGGGGAAAAACACAACAAATCACAACAAAAGAAATGCAAAATGAAAAGGAATAAAATTGTAAATATCAAAAAAGAGGAGATAAATGATATTCAAGAGAAAGTGATAAATTTTAAAGATAAGCAAAGAAGAGCCATCTCATGGACAAAGCAGTCATTTAAAAAAAAAAACATGGCCACTTTGAGAGGCTAAGGCTGGAGAATCACTTGAGTCCACGACTTCAAGTCCAACCTAGGCAACATACTGAGACCCCCATTTCCACTAAAAAAATAGAAAAATTAGCCCAGCATGGTGCCACATGCCTGTCGTCCCAGCGATTCAGGAGGCTGAGGAGGGAGGATTGATTGAGCCTGGGAGGTTAAGACTGCAGTGAGCCATGATCATACCACTGCACTCCAGCCTGGGTGACAGAACAAAACCTTGCCTCAAGAAAAACAAAGTAAACTAACAAAAACAGAAGGCAACGGAAAAAAATATATTAACAACTGCAATTCAGGAAACTGCTGAAATAAAAAAGACTTGGAAATACCTAATGAAAAATCACACCACGTACCTGGGAATATGAATCAGAATGGTCAACACAAAGACATATTCTTATAAAATTACTGTGCTCTAAAGAAAAAAATTGTGTCTTTCTTCTTTTTCCCCTACTTAATCTAGTTGCACTTCATGTACACTGCCAGATCAAAATGCCCCCAAGTGCTATTCTCTCTCCTTTAACAATGATTGTCCTTCATAAATGTATTAAATAACAATGCATTTAGTGATGCCAATCAATACCTATGTTGCTATATCTCTATTAATTTTGATTATATGACAGTCATTCTCGACTAGATTCGTTTTGAAACGGGAAAGTTTCCCTTGCCCCCTAACAGGGTGTGTGCAATGGGGGTATGGCTTGCTTCTTCAGTGCCTCACTGCTTAAATCTATAGGGGAGCATACAGACCGGCAGGCCCACTGTGGGGCTCTAACTCCATGGCGGTGTCTAGAGTCTAGAGGGTGAATGTCTACAGCCGAAGCCCCAGTGGACGTGTGTTACAGGGACTCTTTTAGCTTGCCATCTATAGGCACCTTGTGTTAACCAGCTCAGTTAGACTCTCTACCTTGTTGCAAAGACAGAGGGCTTTCTGTATCCTGGGTTCTTGCCTTGGTGTACCGGAAGAATCAGATCACCCATGGACTTGGAGAATGAGTGCAGAGTTTTATTGAGTGGAAGTAGCTCTCAGCCAATGGGGAGCCAGAAGGGAGATGGCTTTCCCCTGGAGTTGGGCCACTTGGCAGTCCTGGCCCTCCTCTAACTGCCCCAGCCAAACTCTGCCTTTTAGTAAGAGGGTGATGAATTCTGTCAGGACTGGTCCTTCCCTTCAAGTACTCTGCTTAGTGCTTTATTCTACTGTGGCTGAGTTTGTATTCAAGTTGCAAGACAACGTTCTCTTTCCTCTTCCTTCTCCTCTCAAGTACAAGGAAGTAGTCTCTCCTGGAGCTGCAAGCTGCACTGCCTAAGGTTAAGAGAAGAGTGTTAGGCCGGGCGCGGTGGCTTAAGCCTGTAATCCCAGCACTTTGGGAGGCCGAGGCGGGTGGATCACAAGGTTAAGATATCGAGACCATCCTGGTCAACATGGTGAAACCCCGTCTCTACTAAAAAATATACAAAAAATTAGCTGGGCATGGTGGCGCGTGTCTGTAATCCCAGCTACTCAGGAGGCTGAGGCAGGAGAATTGCCTGAACCCAGGAGGCGGAGAGCGCCATTGCACTCCAGCCTGGGTAACAAGAGCAAAACCCCGTCTCAAAAAAAAAAAAAAAAAAAAATAGAGAAGAGTGTTTCCAGCACTCTTTTGGCCACCCCAGCTGGTGTCTTTCTGGGTCATTTGCACCCCAAGTCCACTGGCTGCAAGTCCAGCCTAGCACCAGGACTTGCACAGGAATTGCAGTCCTTGTTACCTAGACTGCCTTTCAAGTTTATTTAGGATCCCAGAACAGTATAGCGCATGGTGACAATAATACCGGAGTTATTAAGAAATAATTTTAGGCAGGTAGATAGGGTAAAGGTACCCAATGGAAATTTTTCTTTTAACAGAAACAACCTCTGAACCTTTTCTTTTCTTTTCTTTCTTTCTTTCTTTCTTTCTTTCTTTCTTTCTTTCTTTCTTTCTTTCTTTCTTTCTTTCTTTCTTTCTTTCTTTCTTCCTTTCTTTTTTTTTTTTTTTTTTGAGACTGAGTTTCGCTCTTGTTACCCAGGCTGGAGTGCAATGGCACGATCTCGGCTCACCGCAACCTCCGCCTCCTGCGTTCAGGCAATTCTCCTGCCTCAGCCTCCTGAGTAGCTGGAACTACAGGCACGCGCCACCGTGCCCAGCTAATTTTTTGTATTTGTAGTACAGACAGGGTTTCACCATGTTGACCAGGATGGTCTCGATCTCTTGACCTCATGATCCACCCACCTCGGCCTCCCAAAGTGCTGGGATTACAGGCATAAGCCACAGTGCCCGGCCGAACCATTTCTTTTCTTCTTTTTTTGAGACGGAGTTTCTCTCGTTACCCAGGCTGGAGTGCAATGGCGAGATCTCCGCTCACCGCAACCTCCGCCTCCTGGGTTCAGGCAATTCTCCTGCCTCAGCCTCCTGAATAGCTGGGATTACAGGCACGTACCACCATGCTAATTTTTTGTATTTTTTTGTAGAGACGGGGTTTCACCATGTTGACCAGGATGGTCTTGATCTCTTGACCTCGTGATCCACCCACCTTGGCCTCCCAAAGTGCTGGGCAGAAAGGCAGCTTAAAGAGCCAGGATGGCAGGCCCGGGGCAGTGGCTCACGCCTGTAAACCCAGCACTTTGGGAGGCCGAGGCGAGTGGATCACGAGGTCAAGAGATCGAGACCATCCTGGTCAACATGGTGAAACCCCGTCTCTACTAAAAATACAAAAAAAAATTTAGCTGGGCATGGTGGCACGTGCCTGTAATCCCAGCTACTCAGGAGGCTAAGGAAGGAGAATTGCCTGAACCCAGGAGGCGGTGCAGTGAGCCGAGATCGCGCCATTGCACTCCAGCCTGGGTAACAAGAGTGAAACTCCCTCTCAAAAAAAAAAAAAAAAAAGAGCCAGGATGGCAAGCTTTAATATGCAAATGCAGGCAATTAAAAACTAGGTCCATCCAACATGGCCAGTATGGCTATTCCCACCTCTTCTCCTTATCACCATGTGTGCCAAGTGTCATAACCACCTTCAGATAATATCACATGCTCAGAACATCATGGCCACCTGCATTTGCATATTAAAATCTAAGGTGAAAGGACTAGGTTTTTCACGGGCTACATAAATGACCACCTGGTCAAATCAATCTCCTGGACCCTATGCAAACACCACTTCCTCCAGCCTCCCAGTATAACCAACCACATTTGGGGTCTCACTTTGTTCCAAGCCCCCCTACCGCTGTCTCTGTATGGGGGAGTTTTCTTTCTTTCTTCTTTCTTTCCTGTTAAACTTTTCTCTCCTTAAAACTACTCCATGTGTGTCTGTGTCATTAACCCTTACAATGCTAGACCAAAGACCCTGGTGTTCCACCATTCATCAGAGGCCTCCATATCAGCAAGGCCTCCTTGCTCCGTATCAGCAAGGCCCGTCCAAATTCAAATTCTGACCGCTGAGATTGGCAATTTCTCTCTGTCTAGGCCTCATCTAAATGTTTCCTCCATGGGTGCCAGCTGAATTCTGCCCTGTGTTGCTTTTTGCCATTACAGGGCAGCTGAGTTCCAACGCGAAAACCCCACAATTACTGCACACCCCCTTCTCCCAAGAACACAGATTCTGTCTCTGGGTGAAGAGTGTTGTAGGTGATTCAAGAATCTCTTTACTCCCCACTTTGGTGACTCTTTCAGTGATATGAAGTTGAAACCAGGTACTGCGACTGCTTGCTTGATTTTCGGATTTTTAAAAATGTGCTTTTTAAAATCTGAATAGTTGTTCAATTTGTGTTCTTGCAGAGATAGGCTTCAGTTCCACCATCTTGCTCTGCCTTTATCTGTTTCACTATTTTTTATATACTTGTTGTTGGATGTTTGCAATTAAACGTTTTATTTTAAAGTTATTTATATTTTACTTTGAATTTTATTTAAATTAAAATAATGTAAATTTTATCAAATATCTACTCATTATGTATTGATTTTATTATACTGTTTTCCACTGTTAATTTTTTAAGTGTTGGATGTATTTCCTGATTGATAAACCTTAGCATTACTGGAATACGCCCTGTTTGGTCACAGTATACCTTTATTTTGGTTTCTCTTTGATAGAACTTCATATAGAATTTTTAATCTATATTTATGATGGAGTTTCTTTTTATCTTCTGCTTTGTTTTCTCTTTTCCATTTTGTTTTTAGTTGACACATAATAATGGCCCATATTTATGGAATAATGATATTTATATACATGTACATGGTGTGTGATGATCAAATCGAGGTGTTTAGTGTATCATCATTTCAGACATTTATCATTTCTTTGTGTTGCAAACATTCAAAATCCTGTCTTCTAGCTTTTTAAAAACAGTAAATTATCATTAACACTATTCACCCTACTGCACTGCAGAACACTAGAATATTCTTCTCATCTACTTGTTGCTCTGTATCCATTAACCAACCTCTCTCTATCTCCTCTTTCCCTTACCTTCCCATCCTTTAATAACCACAGGTCTACTCGTCTCTTCTATAAGCTCAAAACTTTTAGCACCTATATATGAGTAAGAACAGGAACGTAATCTTTACCTTTTTGTGCCTGATTTATTTCACAGTGGCCTCTAGGATCATTCACATTGCAAGCAAATGGCAGAATTTCCTACTTTCAAAATTTTTCATTCTCTTTTATTCTGCTCTGTATATACACCATATTTTCTTTATATAATAAAGTTTATTTGTTACTTTTATTATAATTTAGTATAGAAATTATGCTGAATTAGTGAAATAAGTTGCAGAGCCTTTTAACTTTTTACTGTATGCAAAATATTTTCATGAGTATTTGCATGAATTGATTTGAAATATGAGATAAAATGAGCTACAGACTCATCTGTTTCTGATACCTTTGTAATACACCATCAATCAACTGCCAGTTACTTTAATGCTAAGTACTCTATTAATTTTATTTTTTCAAGTAAGAAGGGTTTTTTGACCCCTTTATATCTCAGGAAGTAATTATTTCCTTTATGTTTTAAATGAACTGGTAATTCTGTACCTACATCCAAAACATATTAGATACAATATTACTCCGTCACTAGCAATTTGCTTAAATATTATACAAGTCTCTAGAGAAACATATTACATATTATCCTAAAATTGCTGTTCAATCGTGTGTATTAACTGAAAGACTGATAATCTGGATGGTGACTGAATTTATATAATGCATATTTAATTCTTCTTTACTTTTATATGTTCAGTGCTCTATAAGTATGTTTAATGTTTAAATAACTTACTTCAAAATATTTACCTTGTGAACCAAAAAAATGAGTTTTCTAATCTTTATGCTCACGACTTACTTGAAATTTCACTATTATAGAAAATACTCAATGAAGTTTGTGAATGAATCAATGAACAAATACATGCATGAATGCTGCAATTAGTCTACATACTTTTCCGGGTGTACAGTGTTTGCAAAACAAATCTTGAACATATAATACTTACTCACATGACTTAAATCATTAATAGTTAAGTCAGGCAAACAAAATTTTGTCAATTCTGGTTTAAAGTGAGTTTATCAATGTCCCTTGTGATTTATCAGTGGAACAACCAGAAAGTCATTGCACAGGAGGTCATAGCTTTAACTATTACCTCATGGAACAACTAACAGCAAAGAAAACATATGCATCAACACAGTCTCAAACTTGTGAAATACAACTCAGTTATTTCAATTTTAGTGAAGAGATGTATTTGGTAAAATTTGCTAAAAAGTAGTGAAAAGATTATTGTTGAGATGGCCAAACAGCAAATGAATAAGCGGCAGACCAAAAGAAAAAATTTTGGTATTTAGTTATCAATCAAATCCACAGAAACAAGTAAATTTACACATTACCATATTTACCAAGCATTTATAAAAGACTCAGAACAGAGAAAACAACATCAGGCAATAGCAGCCTCACAAGGACCTCAAAAATTAGACATTACTTCTTACGCCTCAAAATGGGAATGCATTTTAGTTATGAGGTTAGAATAGGCTACATGATGAGTATTGAACTCATCATCACAAGAAAGAATTCCAGAGGTTATCTTGCTACTTGCATATCCTGCATGAGGATATATGATTCAACCTGGAATTCACCATAATAGAATAAATAATTTTGGCTGACATGTATAGTTCATTAGGAAGCTCCTTGGATTAATAATCAGCACATAGCAATCAATGTAGTAAAATTTGCTAAAAGTTTGTAGTGAGTTTGCTAAAAGTCTGAGTAAGGGTGAACATTTCAGGCTATAGAAATAATTTAGAGTCCAGAAGTTAATTTTTTCCTCTTCTATAGGCAAAGAATCCTAGCAATACATTTGAAATCAGACTTAGTTTTTATTAAGTGAATGGGGAAAAACTAATAGAATTTACATTGGGCAGATGTAAGTAATGTATGGGACATATCTAATAGAAAAAATGGCTGCAATGTAATGTAGGGATACCCTCATACAAAGTTCATTGCAATTTTCCTTCCTTAAATTTTTTCCTCACTTGCCATTACCATTCCTATCACTGCCCAGAAACTTTTATGCCTACTTTGCCTATAATCATACTCACTTTTATACTTTACTGGTATTAGTGGATATTTAGTGTTTAACAAGTAAATTATATAAAATGGGAATAATACAATAATGTCTTAACTTTAGCAAGGTTAAAGAGTAGAAAAACTAAATAATTTGTTCTAAGGTACACAATTTAAACTTAGATTTGAAGTTACTCTGATTTAAACTTTGATTTATCCCAAACTCATGCCATTGTTCTGTCCATGAAACTCACAAGACTTTCAAACATAATCTTTGGATTATAATACTAACTAAATGATTATCTGCTGACATGTATGATTTATGGATTTATAGATTTTCTTCTAGCCAAGTAATATACTTATTTTTTATTCTAATGCCCATGAGTAAATAAAATGGTGATGTTATGAATGATAGAGCTCCATGGAATCCATTCTCTATGTGATCATGAACAACGTTAACTCCAACATTTTGAAGTCGTGTGACATATATAAGTCCATCATCTCTTAGAATATCATGTTGACAGGTGAGAACATAAGTTAAAGGCAACTTTTGTAACTGGGAATCATTGGCTAACAAGGGTGATAACCTACTATCCAAAAGTGCTGGATATGATAAGTTAAATCTTTCAAGAATTGGTTCCCTATAAATATGGTTCTTTTTAAACTTATCAGGAAGAAAGATACTCCAGTTAACAAACTTGAATAGATGTCTTGATTCTTGAGGAATATGTTTGTTTTTTATTATTGCCTGAGAAAGTGCTTCATCTTTGGTCACATACAAGGCTCCCAATTTAGCTGCAATATCCCTTGTTAGAAGCGGGCCATGTTCATTTTCTCGGTGAGATGGCGTGAAGGAATCAATTATTTGTAAAAAAGGGTAAATTAAAGCTTGTGCCTTAATTTTATTTTTGAATACTGGGTCATTCTTTAGCTGAAAATATATAATAGAATTTGAATTAGTCAAAGGTTTTTAAACCATAGAAGTTCAAGTCTTCACTTCAATAACATGAGTTATTATAAGATAAAGTTATAAACCCAACACCAGGCTCAATGACTATTTTCAAAATATTTATACTTCATCTCAGGAACATTAAACTGTTTTATTCAAGGAGGCCAAGCGAGATGGCCAAATAGAAGCCTCCACCAATCGTCCTCTCCATAGGAACCAACAAATTGAACCACTATCCATGGAAAAAAGCACCTCCCTAAGAATTAAAAATCAGGTGTACAATCGTAGTACCTTGTTTTAACTTCATATCAAATCTTGGATTTCAGCAGTCAGAACCTGAGTGTTTGCACTAAGGGCTACAGTGCTCTATGTGTCCATGTAAATTTGAAAGGCAGTCTAGGCCATAAGGACAGTAACACTTAGGCAAGACCTAGTACTGAACTAGGCCCAGAGGCAATTGACTAGGATTGCACATGACATACTGAGACACAAGATGGGGCAGCCAAGGAAATGTTGGCACCACCCCTCCCCTAACCCCAGCCTGCACAGGTGGGGCTCCAAAAGAGACCCCTTCTTTCTGCTTGAGGAGAGGAGAGGAGAGAGAAGAGTAGGGAGAACTCTGTTTGCATCTTGGATGCCAGCTCAGCCACAGCAGGACAGAGCACTGGACAGAGTCATGAGGGCCCTAATCCAGCCCCTAGTTCCCAGATGACATGGCTAATTACACACTGAGCCAAAAGGTAACATGCTGCCTTGAAGAAAAGGACCCAGTCCTGGTAGTATTCATCACCGGTTAACTGCAGAGCACTGGGGCCCTGAATAACCAGCATGGATACCCAGGTACTGCACCAAGGACCTTAGGTAAGTCTTTGAGACTTATTGGCTTCAGGTGATCCTCAGCACATTTCCAACTGTGGTGGCTATGGGGCAAAAACCCTTCTGCTTGAGAAAAGCAAAGAGAAAAGTAAAGGGGACTTGGTATTGCACTGTAGGTACCAGCATGGCCACAGGGAAGCAAAAGGCCAAGTGGGCTTTTGGGAATCCTGCTGTCCTAGAGGGTGGGTCCCAGGCCAGGCAGGATTCACCACAAGCTGACTTAAAGGCCCTTGCGCCTTAAGAGAACATTGGTTGGTAGTCTGGCATTATTCCTCATGACCTGGAAGCAGTGGCTACAGAGTGAGGCTCCTCTGCCTTTGGAATGGAGAGGGAAGAATGGGAAGAACTGTGTCTTACAGTTTAAGTGCCAGCTCAGCTGCAATACAATAGAACATCAGTTAGACTTCTAAGTTTTTTGGTTCTTTTCCCTGACACCCAGGTAGCACCTCTGGACCTACTGGGGCTGGAGGCCCTCGCTGCCCTGAAGGTGAGTGAGACCCAGCACTGTTTTAGCTTCAGGTCTAACCAAGAACAGTTCCAGTAGTGGTGGCCACCAGGATGCTTCTGTCACTCCAGCCCCAGCTTTAGGTGATTTAGAACAGACAGGGAGACTCTATTTGTTTGGGAGAAAGTAAGGGAAGGAAAGGGAAGAAGAGTCACTGCCTGGGAATCCAGAGAATTTTACCAGATCTTGTCCAGGACCATCAAGGCAGTACCTCTATGAGTCTGCAAGAACAACAGCATTACTGGACTTAGGATGCCCCCTAAAGTAGATACAGCTTAGATCACAACACCCAAGTCCTTTCAAATATCTGGAAGGCCTTCCAAGAAAGATGGCTACAAATAATTCCAGACATTGAAGACTATAATACATACCTAACTCTTCAATGCCTCAGTACTGAAGAACATCTAGCACCAACACTATTCAGGAAAACATAACCTCAGTAAATGAACCAATTAAGGCACTACACACCAGTCCTGGAGAAGCAGAGATATGTGGTGACCTTTCAGACAGAGAATTCAAAATACCTGTGTTGAAGAAACTCAAGGAAATTCAACATAACACAGAGAAGGATTTCAGAATTCTATCTGATAAATGTAACAAAGAGATTGAAATGATTTAAAAGAATCAAGCAGAAATTCCGGAGCTGAAAAATGCAACTGGCAAACCAAAGAATGCATCAGAGTCCTTTAATAGCAGAATTAATCAAGGAGGAGAAAGAATTAGTGAGGATGAAAAAGGGCTATTTAAAAATACACAGTCAGAGAAAACAAAAGAAAAAAGAATAAAAAACAATAAAGCATGCCTACAGGACCCATAAAATTGTCTCAAAATAACAAATGTAAGAGTTATTGGCCTTAAAGAGAAGGTAGAGAAAAAGATAGAGGTAGAAAATTTGTTAAAAGGGATAACAAAAGAGAACTTACCAAACCAACAAAAAGATATCAATATCCAACTGTAAGAAAGTTATAGAACACCAAGCAGATTTAACCCAAAAACTACCTCAAGGAAATTAATAATCAAAATCCCAAAGGTCAAGGGTAAGCAAGAGTCCTAAAAGCACCAAGAGGAAAAAAAACAACTAATATACAGTGGAGCTCCAATACATCTGGCAGCAAACTTTTCAGTGGAAATCTTACAGGCTAGGAGAGATGGCATGACATATTTAAAATGTTGAAAGAAAATAACTTCTACCATAGTATAGTATATCCAGTGACAATATCCTCCAAACTTGAAGAAGAAATAAAGACTTTCCCAGAAGAAGCTGAGGGATTTCATCAATAAGAGACAGGTGCCACAAGAAATGCTAAAGGGAATAATTCAATCAAAAAGAAAGGATGTTAATGAGCAATAAGTAATCACCTGCAGGTACAAAACTCCCTGGTAATACTAAGTACACAGAAAAACACAGAATGTTATAACACTGTAACTGTAGGGTATAAACTACTCTTATACTAAGCAGAAAGACTAAATGATGAACCAATCAAAAATAATAACTATGACAACTTTTCCAGACATAGTCATTATAATAAGATATAATTAGAATAAACAAAAAGTTAAAATACCAGGGAATGAAGTTAGGGGTAAAGTTTTCTTTTTGCTTGCTTATTTGTTTATACAAATAGTGTTAATTTGTTATTGGATTAAAATAATGTGTTAGAGATAGTATTTGCAAGCCTCATAATAACTTCAAAGCAAAAAACATACAACAGATATACAAAAAGTAAAAATTAAGATGCTAAATCATATCACCAGAGAAAATCACCTTCACTAGGGGAAGACATGAAGGAAAGAAAGCAGAAAGAGAAGGCCACAAAACATCCAGAAAGACGAATAACAAGATGTAGGAGTAAGTCTTTGTTTGTCCATAATAGTATTGAATGTAAATGGACTAAACTTGCCAATCAAAAGACATAGATTGGCTGAATGGATAAAAAAAACAAGACCTATCAATCATTACTTATAAGAAATATGCTTTATAAAGACTCACATACACTGAAAACAAAGGGATGACAAAAGGTATTCAATTCCAATGGAAACAAAAATCAGCAGGATATACTATACTTATACCAGACAAAATAGATTTCAAGACAAAAATTATAGGAAGAGATAAAGTAGGTCACAAAATAATAATAAAAGAGTCAATTCAGCAAGAGGATATAACAATTTTAAATATATATGCACCCAAAACGGGAGCACACAGATATTTAATGAAAATATTATTAGAGCTAAAGAGAGAGATAGGCCTTATCACAATAATATCTGGAGAATTCAACACCTCCACTTTCAACACTGGACAGATCTTTCAGACAGAAAATCAACAAAGAAACATCAGACTTAATACGCACTATAGACAAATGGATGTAACAGATATTTACAGAACATGTTATCCAAGAGCTACAGAATACATATTTTTTTCCTCAGCACATGGATCATTCTCAAGGGTAGACTATATGTTAAGTCCCAAAACTAGTCTTAAAACATTCAAATAAATTGAAATAATATCAAGCATCTTCTCTGACCACAATGGAATGAAACTAGAAATTAATGACAAGGAATTTTGAAAACTTATGGATACATGAAAATTAAACAATATGCTCCTGAATTATCAGTGGGTCAATGAAGAAATTAAGAAGAACATAGAAAGTTTTCTTGAAACAAATGACAATGGAAACACAACATAACAACCTATAGGATACAGCAAAAGCAGCACTAAGAGGGAATTTTAGAGTTAAAAGTGCCACATCAAAAAAGAGGAAAAATTTTAAATAAACAATTTAATGATGCTTCTTGAAGATGTAAAAATGCAAGAAAAAGTCAAACTCAAAATTAGTAGGAGAAAAATAAGAGCTGGGTGTGATGGTTCATGCGTCTCAGCACTTTGGGAGGCTGAGGCAGGCAGATAACTTGAGGACAGAAATTTGAAATCAGCCTGGCCGATATAATGAAACCCTGTCTCTACTAAAATTCAAAAATCAGATAGGCATGGTGGCACATGCCTGGAGTCCTAGCTATGAGGGAAGCTGAGGCAGGAGGATTGCTTGAACCCAGGAGCCAGAGGTTGCAGTGAGCCAAGATCTCACTATTGGACTCCAGCCTGGGTGACAGAGTGAAAATCTGTTGAAGAAGAAGAGGCAGAAGGTGAAGCAGAAGAAGAAGTGGAGGAGGAGGAGGAGGAGGAAGAGAAGGAGGAAGAAGAAGATTAGAGCAGAAATAAATGAAACTGAAATGAAGGACATGATACAAAAAGGTCAATGAAACGAAAAGCTGTTCTTTTTTTTAAAAAAAGTTAAACAAAATTGACAAATCTTTAGCCTAACTAAGAAAAAAACAGAGAATACCCAAATAATTTTTTAAAAAATGAAAAGGAGACAATACAACAGATACTGCAGAAACTCAAAGGATCATTTGTGGCTACTATGAGCAATTATATGCCCATAAATTGAAAAATCTAGAAAAAAAATGGAAAAATTCCTAGATACATACAACCTACTAAGATTGAACCGAGAAGAAGTCCAAAACTTCAACAGACCAAAAACAAATAATGGGATTGAAGCCATAATAAAAATTCTCCAAGCAAAGAAAAGCCCAGGACCTGATGGCT